AAACGGTCAACACTCGTAAATTAATATATAAATAAATTAACAAATAGTTTATATATATATATATACATTAAAATAAATAAATTCTTTGCTTGGAGTATCATTATATTTGTGAAGTACAACTGATTTACCGTATTAAAAATTCATATACATAGTATATAAAGTCGATAAAATCCCGAATTTATTTATTTATTTTATTAAAATTGTTTATTTATTTATATATTAATAATTAACTAATAAACATTTGTTTGTGTTAATAGATAAGTGTTTTATTGAACTGATAAAATATGTTTAATGTTAAATTTCGAGTTCCACTTTCCATAGAACACGATCGAATTTAGCCCATTTAAGTCAATAACATGAAGAACATTTTTTATCGATAATAATTTATATTAACTATACAGTGATTATATTTGTTAAGGCTTCATTAGAAAAATGAAACTACGAATCTTTGTTGGAAGTCAATGAATTAATTTTCAAGATATTATATTGGTATAAAAGTAAAATTTTATACTGATATACTGAGTACATAATTAATAACAAATTGTGAAATTTGGGAATTGAAATAAAAAATTACCATTTTTAACTCATATATTTTATGCTCTATTTCTATTAAATAAAACAAAAAATATAAAACTGTGCTAACCGTTTCACTGGTGCTAAGAAAAACGAGGAATGAATTTTGATGAGTTACACTAAGAGTTTTTCTTTTTTTTTTTTTTGCAAAAATTATCTTAGAAAATAAATATGCAGGTAAATTTTAATTATACTTTCAACTTTTTATTTTTCTAATATTATATTTCTCCTTTTAAATACCGGACACCTCCAAATAGCAGAAAACATTTCATCGACCAAGGGTTTCCGGTATTTAGAAGTTTCACAGTATACATATAATTATGGACCCGAACGTTGAATACGAGATAAAAATCAATTTTATCTGACCCGTTTATAGATTTTACTTTACGATAATTTGATCGTTTTAATTGGAAACGATAGAAAAAAACAATATAGCACAATCGGTTTGATCGGCGTGATCGGGAGAACATAACATGTGAACTTTTCTAAGGTGTGAATCCTGTGCACGCATCTCGAAGCGACTGATGCGGCGTGATTTAATTTTGGGCGCGTGGGTACTAATTAATTTGTTTTTGAATGTAACCGTTCGCAGCGGCTCCGAAATTGCACGTATAAGTCCCGCGACCCGAGAACCCGAAATTTGATAAAAATGTTGAAAATTTCATTTTTAACAAAAGAAGACGTTGTCTTGGCAGAACGTGTGGTTTGATGTCGTTCTCAACTAAGTTTAACATAAAATTACATTGATCCCAGCTCAATTTAAAAAAAATTCCTTGAATTTGGTTTCATCTCACCATAAATGTTTTTCTATCAGGACCCTGAAAAATCGTTTAATTTTCGTGGCTAAGAACATTTTGTATGCACTTCGTTGTTAGTGTTAGCTAGTATGTATTTCACTATTTCTTGTTCTTCGTCTACTACTCGTATCGATATTGGTTTTCGCTTTTTAGTTAAAAGCGTTTATTGGGAACTTTTTAAAACAACTTACACGGACACAAGAAACACGTATAAACGTTACGCGGATCCTTGCTAATCCGTTTAGGACAATAACCTGCACACGAAAAAAACGATCGTAATGTAAATCGTAATGCAATGTAAAAGCGCGTAAAATGTACACGATTTCGATGACCAAATTTTCGCGTTATTTCACACAGCATTGTATTATGTTCAACCACGCGCGTAGTCCTCCTTTGTTGTCTGTCTTATTGTATTTTTGCGGTTCCGTCCGGCGCGTTCTCGAATGAACGAACGAAACAAATACACATGCGTTTCCTGCTGTTACAATCGTCCCTGCGGCTAATTAAAAACATCATTTTTTTGCGCTTTGTTTGTATTCTTTCTGTACGGTCGAACCCACCGCGAATTTAACACCGGCCGCAATAATTGATAAAAATCCGTACACCGTCACGTTGTATAATATTACGTTTGAATGATAACTGTGAAACAGTATTTTAAACAAGCTTTGTCACAAGTGCATTTTTTTATCGCACACGTTTATTATACTTCAAATGCTCCAATAGCCGGAGGAATCAGAGATCGGTTTTGTTCGGTTACACGAAATAACACAACAGTGTATTAAGTTTAAAAATTAAGCCGCACGTCATTGTTTATTCGTTAACGAAAGATACGAACGGTTAACGGAAGTGAATTAATTTCAGACAGCACCGCAAAATACATAATGCACATTCATAAATTACCATCTCTCGTATGATAAAACTATATGAACGTATGACCGTAATAACTTGACTTTATACTTCACACCGGCCTACTATGTCGTTAATTTTCGTTGAAACAATGGAATACTCTTTGGTAGCTTTTTATAAGTAAAAAAAAAATAAAAAAAAATACCTAATCCGGGATCTGGGAACTGTTAACCCTCTTTGGGTATTAACCTCTTTTGCCCTTTGATTTTCTAATACTTTTTAGCTAATATTTTCCATAGGTTCATCCGAATTATTTATTGACTGAAAGGCTATGATATACTTATGTGTCTGCTATGTGTATTTCATCCTACTTACATCATATTAACGATTTAGTGGGCATAAAATATACATTAGTCAATAAACCGATTTAAATTTAAGAATGTATGTATTACACTTATGTTATTTGGAATTCAAAGCATCCATCGCAGCGGTATTACTTATTAATTGCATAATATTTCAAAGGTTTTTTTTTATCGACGTTCGAGTTTGTAACTTTATTCGTTGCGTGCTGTTTAGCTGCTGTTATTATAACTTGTAAGCAACTATCGGAAAACGAGCATACCAAATAGGCTTACATGGGTTGTTATGAAATTGGCGATGCTAACGTGATTACGATGGATTAATTTAGAAATGGCAATCGACTGGGTGTGTCGATATATTGTATAATATATATGTACTTCGTACGTTCCATCTTTTCGATTACGGATGCGCATAAAATTGCAAGGATTTGAACTTTTCGAAAATCCAGATAACCAAATCCGGATTCGAATCAAATTCTTATCCAGATTTACCAAAGTATATGGATTTATGGATTTGCTTTTTATGCGATTTATAATTATTTTTAATTTCCAGTAAAATAAATTATTTTGTTTTGTCGAAATTAGATTCAACAGCGAATTAATATTATGTTTTATGAATTACAGTATACTTATCATGACTTCGAAAGTTTTTGTAATTTATAATAAGTTACCAGAACATGTTATTAAGTTTATATTATATTATGACTTACAGCGATGTCATGAGTGAACACTCAATTAACTTATGTTACCTATTTACTGCATAACCTTAATTAAATTTACATGCATATAAGAATTAGTCATTGAATAATCCGGATATGGCGATCACTACTTCCGATACGATTTGCTTCCGTAAAATGCCACTGCGAGTAAACTATTGTTTGTTTCAACAGTTAGTCTGTAGACGACTGTAGAGGTCTGCGTATCTACAGGTGGTTTTTTTTCGGGCAAAATTATACAGCATCTAAATACATGGCCATCATCAATTTACGTATGGGTACATTAAAGTAATAAATGCGTCGTTTAAGGGTCCGTTAAAGTGTAGGTATACGGTGAAACGCAATAACGCTGTAGTATCGGCACGTGCACGTTTTCTTAAGGTGCTCGCGGAAACATAATTACCCTAATGATTAATCAAAATGATTGTACATGATGTGAGCGCGTTCAATTCGCCTCCTGTCCGACTCTCGGCTGTGACTTATGGTCATTTTTCCGACGGAGATCACTCGAGTTATCGCTTTCGATTGACGCGTTCGACAGATTTTTCAAGAAAACGAAAAAATTCGCGCGAATGAACCTCATTGATTATATCGTGGTCGAAACCCTTTATTTACGTTCAAATCGTCATATTGTTGACAACGAACGGTATCCGTATAATTTCAAATGCGTTTGGAATCACGCACAATTTTTTTTTCATCCCGTGTCGCGCAAGATTATCTTGTGCACTGCGCACATTATACGAATGTTGGCAGGTCCAGAAACGTACGGTTTTCCGGGAGGAAAACTTATTTGCGCGCGAAAATCCACGTAAGCAATACGACATCGATTCGCAATACGAACATGAGATATTGGAGTGCGCAATATGACCGGACATCGAAAGGTACCGGAATCGCTTCCGAAAGCACCCGGAAGGGTCATGACGGACGGTACGGGAGGGACAGGCGATTGGACCGACGGTCGAGAAGTTTCCGCGCGATCCGAGCATTTGATAGCGGTGGTGGTCTTGAGTAAGATTTTCAAAATTTCTCGAGATCACGACTACAACGATCGACGATCGACGCGACGCAGACGACGTACCCGTAGCTCCGATATCGTTCTCACCACGTGTTGGGACAAAAGCCAAAGGTGGACGGCGCGAGGGACGTTAACCGATAAAACGCGCGCGCGCCCTTTGAACCGAAAACGATTTTAAGTATTTTTCGAGGGAGCGCGTTTTTACGAACGCGTAGCTGCGAGGTCCGAGAAAAATGACCGAGGGTCGCCGGTGGGGTCCGGAAATTTCATTAAAAATATAACACAGCATCAGGGGTGGGTACGGCGGAGGATCGGTAGTGGGTCCCTTCGGTGGCGTAGTGAAAAGGGTTGTGAAAACCGTATGTGAGGATCGCATAGTACGCGGAGGACGAGAAGGCGGGTACGAAGACAATGGCGCCGAGAGTAATTAGACTACGGAGCGCGCACACACACGGACCCGTGGACGAACGCACGTGCGCCGGCGCGTTCGGGGACAAGGGTCGCGGGGCGGTGGGAGTTTGCTTCGGCGGCAGCGGGGCAGCTGTTCCGGCGGCGCGGAGACGGACCGCCGCCGCGGGGACGGACTTTGGTTTCGATCTTGGTGCGGTGGCGGCGGTTCGGCGCGCTCCGCCGGTGCGCGTCTTTGCGGCCGCGCGCACGCCAAAGGTGTAACCCTCGCACACGCACGCACGCACGCACAACCCCTTGGCCGCGACGCCGCCGCGTACGTGTGTTCGGCTTGTGTGCGTGAGCGAGTGCGTGCGTACGTGTGGGCGTCCCGCGGCGCGCGCGCCGGCGAAAACCCCCGAATATTGCGGTCAGCGCACACGTACTCGGGTCGCGCGCTCGGCCCCACGCGCACACGCAGCACGCGAGCACCACTCCGGTACCGGTTACGTCGGCGAGCGAGAGGAACGGGCCGCGGAGCGATATAGGCGCTGATAGTGATCCGGCCGGTTACCGTGCGAACGTCCGTTTGTTCCGGCGTCCCGCACGCACGCGCCGGCGAAACGTTTTGGCCGCGGTACAGTTGCGGTGCACCTCGGAGTTCGCACGTCAGTGGCATCGGGCGCGCGTACGCAATCGCTGTCGCTGTTGTTGGCGAGCCTTACCCGTCCGGTCGTACGAATCGCGGAAGTGTGTTGCGAGGACGGTCGCAGAAGTGTTGCGCGACTGATCGGAGACCCGCCGGACACCGGCACCGAAGCACGTGCACCGACCGAATGACGGACAAGCAGCCGAGGGACGGAAGAATAAAAAAAAAAAGAGCGGGAAACGCGGTCGTAAAAAAATAAACAACCGTTAGGCGCACCGCCGCCCGCTCCGCTCTACCGTCCGCGCCGCCGTCCCGTCACTCGCTACTGCCGCCCGGCTGTCGAAAGTTTGTTTTTTCCGTCTGTTTTTTTTTTTTTACACCCCCGTCCCGCTCGCCGCGTCCTTGAACCGTTCCAGTGATCCGCCGCCACCAGTGTTTTTTAAATCGTCCACGTAACAAAGGTCAGTACTACACGTGCACTTGCACGTCTCATAAATTGTTTTTTTTTTTTTCTTCACAAAGGTTAGATTTAAACGTTTTATCAGGGTGGTGTTTCGATTATTTGAATTTTTATCGGTCGGGAAAATTACGTCTCGATTGCGGTCGTTAAATGGCTCCCGTCGTGTGCTTCGCTTTTTCGGCACGATCTTCTCCCGTGCGATTTAGTTGTTAAAAGTGTTCTCGATCGACGATCGCCGATCGAACGTCGATGGAATTGTGGAACTGTTGAATTTTACCGTCAGACGTGGCCCGACCACTCTCTTTTCGTTGAAATCGTGAAGTTTTCTTCCGCACGTCGGTTCATAACGATCGCGTCTCAAACTTGCACTGTAAAATCCGATCACGTCAGTTCGTAATTGTACGCGTTTTCTTACGGATCATTACGGTGCGTACAATTAACCTGACCTGGTATAACGAAAACATTCAGTTGCGCCCCCCGACACGTGTTTCAATTTGTATTTTTCGACCACGTGGTATTGTAATACTAAATCACCGATGAAAAACGTAATTAAAATCGTTAAATTGTTGAATAGTTATCGGTTTTACTGTTGGATAGATTTTTATTCTTCGCAATATTTCGTTACAGCTTCATCAATTAGATTAGATATGTCCACAGAGAGTAATCGAACATTATGAAAAATCTAAATACTGAAAAGTAATATTAGACGTTTTTTAGTATTTTTACTTTATGTCTTATAAGGATTTTACAATTAAAAATATCAATATACCGTGCCCCGACTATGGTTTCGTAAAACGTTAAACTTTGACAAGTATTTTTATCGTTTTATGGTGCTATTGTTCGACGGATTCCTAAAAAAATATAATTCTACCTTTTTTTCGATATTACGCGAGTAGTATCACAATGACAGTTTAAATTGTCCGAAACGAAAACCATATGTAAAACACGTTCTGTATAATTATACGGAAATATAATTCGTGAAATTATTATAAGAAAATATTATCATAAAATTTATCGATAGTTATTATGATTATTTATTTTTTTATACTCAGCTTGTGAAAATCGCTAAAAATAAATAATCACGACTTACAAGAATTCGGAATCGAATGTTCTACCCGCAGTAGACTGCATTAGTTTTTTCGCGCTCTATGTACAAATATTTCACTCTTAACATGTGAACACTTATGGTTTTGCTATTCACGCGTCCTAAACTTTATACCGGAAGCATGACGATGCGACGCGTGCTTAAGTATTTCACACCAGTAGTTATACACACCTCGCACGTGAAACGATTATCGGTATTCGTCTCGCTTTCGAGCAACCCCTTTGACGGATTAAAAGGGATTTCGACGCGTAACATTGTCGCCAAGAAAAATGATTATCATCATTCGAAATATAAAGCTCATGTTCCTTCCCTTGTCGAATTGCCGATTAGTTGCACTTCAGCACAGCCATCCTCCGTTCGATACTCATTCGAGTTCAATAAACAACATATGTTTTGATCTCGTTGAATGCACACCAAATAAACTATAAGGAAAAATAAGAATAAACCATTAGTGAATAACGATACTTATTCGCAGTTTTTCGTTCAACATACACGTTTTAGCCACTAAATCGCATGAATAATTATTGCCGATAAAATATGTACGTGCAATTAATTTCCGTGACAGGGATAACATTTACAAAAAAAAAATCTAAACGTTCATCAACGCACAATACGTGTACGTATATAATTTCTATTCTCCGTGTTACATAGAATATGCATGTATTGTAATAACAAGAGTGAGTACGTAATCGGTCATTATTTCGAACAAATATCGAGAGAATTTCGTTTTGTGAATGCTGGCAAAAATCGAGCGTCCAGAATTGTACGTGAGTTACCTAGAACGGCAAGTCGTGGGTACCCTAAATTAATAAATTATGATGATGTTTTATGTCGCATTGATAGTATTGTATAATATCTACATAATCGCAGTTACGTATAGTAAAAATAAGCGCGGTTATTATTCGATATACTAGTACATTAATCATTGTAAGCGCTAAATGTATTGTCAGACACTACCGTTCGATCGAGAACTATAGATTTTTTCAATTCAAGTTTCTTTTATATTTCGACCGAAATCTCAACTTGTACGAAAATAATATACGATCATACAATACAGAACTATCGTACACGATTAAGGACCAACGGCTTTTAATTTGAATATAATATACATACATGCATGTATGTATATTATATTCAAATTAAAATTAAATGTAAATCAACGAATGTTTTAAAAATTATGTAGCAATATTCGTAACATAACACGTTATGTTTATCTGTTTGGTTCAATAATTTTCATTTATGTTGTTATTTATATACGTTTCTTTGAAATGTTCGCAGTTTTTGAAGTTGATGTTTACGTTTATATTGTTTGGTATAGCTTAAAAGTCTATACGGTTAATGGTCTATTTACATTTTCAGTATTGCATTCGAAGCGTTTTTATACTACAAACAAGTAGCTTCACGTTAATATGCGTTGTATAATGTGAAATATTTTTTTGTTCGTCCGTCTTCGATACACATAAAAACTCAAAAATAACACTCGGTAACGTAGAAATACAAGTCGGCGACTTTCGACTTTAATCGTACTACACCGTTATTCAGTACGATTTAACTCGAAAAACCGCTGTCAAAACATTAAAATATACTGTAAGGGAATAGGAAATCAGGGGCGCCATTTGGGGGGAGCAGGGAGTGCACTCGCACACCTTGAATATTTTTCATCTCCAATTGTTGGTTATTGGCCTAGGCGTCACTGATACTCGGCCTTGCCACCTTGGCCTTCAGTTTTCCAATCTTTAATATTGTGCATGCACCGCGGATAATCACTGCTAATCATAAATATTGGCCTGGTGGTGGGGAAAAATTGGCCTCTTTAATTGCTTGCACACCCTTAAAAAAAACTGAAATGGCGTCGCTGCAGGGAAAATAAACGTTGACGTTATCTTGGAAAGGTCGTATACATTGGGTTGCAATAAAAACGCAAAAGCACACAGTTTATATTCAATCGTTTGCATAACAATTAATTTTCGAGCCTGCACGTACGCAAGATGTTTCAGTTCATTTATCTCGATGACAAACGATATTTTAAAACGTAAAACTAAATCACACGCTTCGATCTATTTACCGTCTCGAAATTAGTTACGTCTTATTTGCTCGCGTGATAATTAATAAACCGTATGCTAAATCCAACACGTGTCTTGCGTACAGCAGTAAAGCACGAACTCGAAAACGGCACGCGTTTTTAAAGGACACACGCCCATTAGGCGGTACAAAATTAAGACGGTGAGATCATGATACGATACTGTTCGTTTTACGTGCAGAAAGCGTGCGTGTTCAAATGTGTTTTTCTTAATTAACTAACAGAGGCGACTCCAGAGCCTTGGTTGGGGGGGGGACCAAGTTACAATTTTACAAAATCTTACAACAAAAAGAAAACAACAATTTTTACAACACAAATTCAAGTCGTCTATTTTTAAAATTGGCAAAAATATCAATTATATGATCTATTTGATCTAGAATATCTACTATATGATGTACATTAATTAGACATAATGCTGATAGTCTATCTTCAGTCATCATTGAACGAAACCAGGTTTTTAGTCTCCGAAATGAGGAAAAACTCCTTTCAACCGTCGTACCTCTAAGGCTCTGTCTATAATGTAGACTCTACATACTTGTGCGTGTCGTATGATAGTACATATTATAACATGCATTTTTTGTTAACAACATACATTTTTTTATAAATACATTACGGGCTTGGGAGGGGGCCACGGCGTATAAAGACCGATTTGTTGAATGTTATTATAGGCTCGTCAGAAATTAAATACAATGGTCGATCTAACTCTTTTATGTTCAAAAACGATTGGCAATAATACATTTTCTGATCCATCGGGTACACATTGCTTACGTTAAATACCTTATACCTAGAACAACTATATTCTTTACATAAAAAATCACAAATATATTCAATATTTTAAATATTTAAATTCAAATCATATATAAATATAGTTTCAACTATCGACAAACGCTGTGTGGATAGAAGAGACTGTATCCCGTCAAAATATCTCTGGTAAAAATATCTCCGATAAAAATATCTCCGCAAGAAATATTTTAGATTTAATTATTATAACTATTATAATTTATTAAAATTAAATTATCTCACCATTATGCATTAATTAAGTAACATGTATTATTATTTATTATAAATTTAAAATTTTCTCACGCTTCATACTGTTTTAAAATGTTATTGATGTTGTTAAATTCAGTTCGTCTTTATCGGCAAACCGATATAGATAAACGATAATTTTCCTTCACGAAACAACCTCGAAAAAGTTATAATTAAAAATATAATACATTTCTAAATTTCTCTTAGAAATACTCCCATTCGGTTTATATTATTAATACTTGTTATATTATATTTTACTAATATGCTGTTGTAAAATATCTGCATTTAAAATATTCATTGTTTTCTCTTAAAATTATTTGGACCAGAGATATTATTACCGGAGATATTTCGTGTCAGAGATATTTTGACGGAGATATTGTTACCAGAGGTAATTTATGTCTGAAATATTTTGACGGAGATATTTTTACCGGAGATATTTTGACATGGAACCGAAGAAACGACAAAATAGAGTTTCAAATGTTATTTTAAGAATCGAGGGACCAGCCGGAGCGGTTAGCGTTGCTAATTTACAGCAGTTAATGTTGGTAATTTTCTCTCTCTTTTGCCAAGAAATATCACTTAATTATGGCAAAAGAAACATATATAACGATTATTGTTGTCACTTATATCCCACGAACATCTGTTCTCGTACGTCTTTTGACTGATCTGTTTATCGTTATTAGACATATGTCTGTTCTGACGGATCCGTTAAAACACGTTTTCCATCAGAACTCGTGTCCAATGTAATCACAATCTTGTCCGGGAACCGCAACGGCGTGATTTCGATTTCTTTTTTTTGTATATTTTTCATCGCCGTAAAGAAGCGATCGAGAGATTACGTTTTAAATCCCAATCTCGCGCTCCCCCCCCCCCCCATATCCGTAGCACGGGTTCTCTTGTAAAACCGGTAAACATCAGCTCACCGACGACTCCGGTGGAAGACATGAGCACCAAAATAAGATAAAAAAAAAATAAAGTCATATTGTACAATAGCGCCAAAATCCTACGCACAGAGTGTAATAAATGTAGCACAGATGTATAAAAGTACAAATAAGTGAAAAAATGGGATTAAAAAATCAATCGATTTATTAAATCTATATTTATAATTTAATATTGATACTTATTTTTATAAAATCGTAATTTTTAAATAACTGCTTACATAAAATATTAATTTTGGCGCAAATGATACGTCTTTTTTACATCTTTGGGGCATATGTCATTTAGCCCATGCGACGCGCAACTACTACATGACACGTGTAACACACTGACTGCTTTCAGGTACCGCGTTACGTGTTCACCGGGAGCGACGACCGCCGGCGGATTCGGCCGCGGCATGGTGGTCAAAGGGGCCCAGATGAACGTCAACGGCGGGACGGCGCAGGGCCCGGCGGCCGAAGACGGGCTGTCCGAGGCGTACGCCAAGATGACCGCGGACATACTGGCCGAAAGGTCGTTGGGTGACTTCCTGTCCGAGCACCCGGGCGAGCTGGTGCGCACCGGCAGCCCGTTCCTGGTGTGCACCGTGCTGCCCACGCACTGGAGGTCCAACAAAACGCTGCCGGTGGCGTTCAAGGTGGTCGCGCTCGGCGAGGTGCCGGACGGCACGGCCGTCACCATACGCGCGGGCAACGACGAGAACTACTGCGCGGAGCTGCGCAACTGCACCGCGCTCATGAAGAACCAGGTAGCCAAGTTCAACGATTTGCGGTTCGTCGGCCGCAGTGGCAGAGGTTGGTGTACCGATAATAATACCGATTAAAAACAATAACGGCGATGGCGATTAAAATTAAAAAAAACTCGGACAGGATAGTGTAATTTTTTTATTTTTTTTTATTTTTATTTAGAACCTTTAGTTATTAACTATTACAGTTCAACAATTACAGATAGTGATTACATAAACCAATTAAGAAATTAAAATAACATCGAGGCAATAGCAATTGGTTATAACTAAACGTTAAGTATACAAAAGGTGTTGATAAGAAATAATGATTATTAGTTTGGATTCGGGAAGATATAATTAAGGTGAGACGGTATTCTTAGATAGTAATGAGTTTAAGAGTGTGGATAAAAGTAAAATTAATGGAGTAATGAGGGAATGTAATTGTGTAACAAATTGAGATAAAATATTTGATATAGATTTGTTATTAGAATTGTTTGAGTTGCTTGAAGTTGCTTCTGCGTATGTTTTGGCCCTGGATTTTTCTTTGTGTCGGGTGTGCGTGGACAGGTAGTCCACTGTGACTGGTAAGATCATCTTTGAGGGCACTAATGGTGGTACAGGTGGTGTGGTCTTGAGGTGACCATTCTTATGATTCTTACGATAAGTGTTCATAAATTTCTTTAATGAAGGACAACCTTTAAAGTTCGCGGTATGTGCGCCAGAGCATAACGCACACTTTGCAGGTAGTTCCGAAGATTTGACACAGTCCTTGGTGAAATGGTTGTTGCCGCATTTGACACAACGTGGTAATTCGCTACAGTAGGAGCGAGTATGACCGTATCGCTGACATGGTTTGCATTGAGGAGGGTAACGAGATTGATACTGATTTTCCACAACTATTTTGGAGTTAAGGAGAGAGGATATTTGGAAGATACTCCGGTTAAAATCCCTTGCTTCTAGGACAACGGTGAATAGAGATAGAGCTTGTTTACTAATTCTGTGGCGGACGTTTAGCACACTTATGATTGAGAAGCCCAAATCCCGGAGGGCCTTCTCTATATCTTCAACAGGAATAGTATAATGCAGATTACGGATAAAAACTTTGAAAGGGCGGATATGACGGGGTGCCCACGTATGGCATTCTAAATCCGATTCGTTGCAGTAATCGATTAGTTTATTGTAACCATCAAAACTATGAGGTTTGATTATAAGAGAGGAACCCTTGGCGGTAGCTGTAAAGCCATCGGTACCCACCAGAGATATTAGATCTGCTTTTAACGAGGAGTAGTTAGTAACATTACTTATGACAATTGGCGGTGCAGACATGCTCGTAACCTCGACTTTTTCATCACCAAGGTGTTTCGATGGTAGAGTACTAGGTTCATGTTGAGCCGTAGGTGAGACTGTGACAGGAGGGGGACTAAAAACCTCGGGGAGGTTATCAGCCATGGTGAGAGGAGCAAACCGATTTGACGACACATAAGATTTACTTTTCTTTAGACTTGAATCGAGATTTGATGAAGAGGAGGACGACAAATTCCGTTTGGTCGACTTCAGTGTAGTAGCGCGGGACATGACAGACGGGTCTACGTATTATCGTGCAAAACACCTTAACATAATTAAATAATAAACTGATAATAATTGAGCGCGTGACGTAGTGAACGTGCGTGCTCGACGACAGACGACACAGAACTGAGTGTAATTTTACTATATTCGATTTGAATGCAATTATTTATTACAATTCGATTACATTCGATAAAAAAAAAAACAATTCTGAGTTGACGAGGGAATCTTTTTTATTTAATTTTATTCGTTTCTATGGTGATAAACAAAGCGTTTTAAGAACAGCTTAAGAACGATTTATATAAATAGGTAATCTATATTAATTATAATTTATAATTAGGAAATATCATAATAATGAAAAAATATATAAAATGATTACATATTTACAACAAAAAAAAAAAAAACTCCTAAAATTAAAATATCTATAAATAGCTCAAAAACGGATAAAATTTTCCAAACTTTAAACCGTAAGGAACAAAATGCAAAATACAACAAAAAAGATCGTTTGTCATTTTTCATTTGAAGCAATATTTCTGGTAAAAAACGTCGTCCGTAATTTTTAAATCTTATAAAATCGTGAAATCGTACGTTTTTTTTTCCTTTAACCGCTTTTATTTCGAGTACTGTTTCGAAAATCGAAAAATGACCTCTCTAAACTACCAGCTCTAAAACATTATCTATATCAGAAAAGATGCTACACTTTTTACTTTTGAGCAAGTTTAGCGGGAGAAAAAGTGTTTACAGAATAAAAAAGAAAAAGAAATAAACATCATTGAAAAAACCATTACATTCCTCGCTCCGTTCAAAATCTAAAATAATATAATAACGACTACGATAACTGTATTGAATAAATTAAAAAAGAAAAAAATATGATCGAATCCCGCAGTAATAATATTAATTAGACGAATTTTCCAGCCTCATCCGTCTCAGTATGTTTTAATATTTCGGAAAATTTCAAAAATCTAACCTAACCTAACCGATATTTCGACGGGCAAAGAACTCGTAATAGTTATATATTCTAATGCAATTTGTATTTAATTTTTTTCAGCATTTAATTATACTACATTAGTTTTCATACTTTAGCCGGTAATTATTAATATCAACGTATAAAAATAAAAATAAAATATTTTGATGGTTATCGAATAATATTGAAAAACATTAAATAATTGTTTGCATTTTCAAAAGCGCATTCCTCTAGCACCATTGAATAATTGCTTCAATCAACGATCGGACAGTTGTACCGAGAATGACTTTCACGTAACAACGCGCGCTTTGACCGAATCAACATTTTTACCGCTATTCTGTCTCTATAGAAGTATATTTTGAATAGAATTTGTTATTTTAATTTTTAAAACAACTCACTTTGTCATGTTAATAACATTTGTACTGAAAATTCAGTTTTTAATAACATACAGTAAATTGTACTACTAAACAAAAATAATTAATTATGATTATAATTTTTTTTCCCTATTAATTCTTAACCTTATAATATAATATAATTTATATTATGTAAAATATAAAATATATTACAAAGATTGATCGAGTCATACAAATTTTTGTTTAGGATTAAATTTGGTACAATAAACATTTTTTTTTTTTTATATGAATATAGCATAGAATTGAAATAGACTGGCCCTAGATAAAATACAAAAGATAGCCCAAAGGCTTTTTGTGAATATTTTTAGGAGTATTATAAATTCTGCATTCTCTTCTACCATCATAAAATTTCATATTTACACCTTTAATCAGTGGCGCACAGGATTTTTTTTCGGGGGGGGGGGGGAGTCGAGGTAAAAATATAACACATTTAACAATTAACAAAATTATGCAAATCTTCAATATATTTTGACTTAAATAATAGCATTAATAATAGAATAGACTATTCTATAATCAATGATACTAGGTATTCAATACTAGCTCTTCATATTTCAAACTTGTAAATTTATAAATTTTAACCTAGACATCGGAGAAAATTTCGGAGGGTTATAACCCCTTACCTCCCCCCTCCCATACATGCGCCACTGACTTTGATGACACTCTTAAAGATATATATAATTGCTACTTTTTTTATAGAGAAACCTTAATAGAAGAACCCCGAATAATCTGTAGTTTTCTTTCGTGGAACCTTCAAAAGAAAACTTATTTAAACAGATTCTAATAATATTGTTCTGGTCAGTCTGCAATTTGTTTAAAGTATTGTCACCGAATTCACCCCAGACTAACAACCCATATTGTAGGATTGACTGATATAATGCAAAATAAATGACAACCATTGTTTGTATGGGTATTAAGCCCCGTAATTTATAAAATTTATAAGTGTTTTATAGTGTTTTTTTTAGTGTTGCTTGTAGTTTTCTGATTAAATTTTGCGAATATAAATTTCATCTTAAATTATAATCAAATATGATACCTAAGTAACGGGTTCTTATTACTTCTTTGATATGAATGCATTTATTCAAGTTTCTACAAGTGGTCCCATCAACACATCTGTGTATTCTTAAAGGTTTAAGATTTAAACATGTTTTATTAATGGAGAAAGTCATAAACACTGTTTTTTCCTAATTTAGTGTTAAATTTCTGTTAAGTAGGCATTGGTAAATTTTATTTACACCAATAGTTGATTTATGGTGAACTTCTTCCCGAAAATTGTCAGAGAAAAGTAAGCAGGTGTCATAAGTAAACATCTTCTGCATAAGATGCAACTAACCAATCTAGGTATAAATCACTGATCAAGTCAATGTAAAATAAGAATGAGATTGGGCCCAATACACCTCCTTGAGGGACACTATATTTACTTTTTTTTTTTAATAATTTTTATTATTTGAAAAACATAATACAAATAAAGTATTTAAGAAAAATAATAAAAATTATACCCTATACCTTCATAGCTTAAGACGTTATAAATCCTAACCATTTGCCTCCTGTATAAAAAATAGCTTTTAAACTATGATAAACTAATTTTATCAATTCTGAAATAAGAAAGGATTTGCAACAAAATTTGATGATTTACCGTATCGAAGGCCTTGGCTATGTTTAAGAATACAGCTAAGACTTTTCTACTGTTGTCTAGTTCATTATAAATTAATTCCGTCGTGTTAAATAGGAAATTGTCTGTGCCTATACCGGGTCTAAAACCGAATTGGTTTATAAAAAGTTTATTATTTTTCAAAAAATATATTAGTCGCTTTTAATGATTTTTTTCGAATATTTTAGTGAAATTACTCAGCAAGGATATGAGTCTACAATTATTAATATTTCTGTTATTTCCCCGTTGTAAATTAGTTTAATCGCAGCTAATTTTAGAAAATATGGAAAAATACCTTGTTGTATACTTTGTTTATAAATATAGACTAATGGTTTTTAATAAAGTCAATAATTAATAATTTAATTGACATCCTATCACAACCTGGAGCTGTATCGTCCTTACAGCTTTTGAGTATGTTAATAACATCCCCAGTCTCAATTTTTATATTATTATTAATTATTATAAAACGAAAAACTTTTACTACTATTGGAAACAATAATTTTTTATAACTTCACAGTTTGCAATCTCAGCTAGTTCCTTTCCTACATTAATAAAATATTGATATTAGATATTTCTTTTGGATTCTCAATTACATTATATTTTAGGTCATTATTAGTTATCTCTTTAATATTGTCCTTGTTAATTATTTTAGCCTCTGTGATTTCATTTACTAGTTGCCAAGTTAATTTTGGATATTTGTAACACATACATTTATTTTCATAAAATTTAACTTTGGCTGTTCTTAAAATACGAGTGTAATTATTTTTATATTTTTGTAATATTGGGCTAGTTTTTTATTATTTGGGTTTTTATTTTATTTAAACGATAAATACTGTTTATGCGGAGTGGAGCATAATAAACCAGCTGTCATCCATTTTTTTTAGATTTTTTTAGAAGTTGTAGATTTATCAAAAGAATTTGAATTTATTTTTAGAAACTTGTAATAGGAATTATCTACGTTATTATTTGTATACACTTTAATCCATTTTTGTTCACCGAGTAAGTTTTTAAATTTATCATCATTATCAAATAAATATATTTGGTTTTTGTGGTCGATAGCGTGTTAATTGGTATGGAAAATAAAGGTGTAAAACGATCCGTAGCATCAGCCAAATACACCAGCATTTACTAATGCAATTAATTTCTCGTTATTGCGAACGAAAATATGATCGAGGCATGAGCGGTTTTGTCCATTAGGTGAATGACGCAAAACCGCATTCAGACAACTTGTCGAGGTAATCATTTTTCAGTACGATGTCCCCAATTATATTAATATACATATCTCCGATGTGGTAATTTACTACGTACAAACCCGGCGGATCTAAAATCGGATTTGGTACGGGTAATCGTCACCTGATGACCAATTGTCGGTGAGGAAAAAAGAAAAATATATTAACAAAAGCGTGTCGGCCCGCGTTGTATAACCACTAAACCGTCCGTGGCGGTTCGACTGACGAGTGCGGTGCGGGAAAATGAAACGACAACAAATCTGGTGCTGGGGGGAATGCAATCCGCATGCAGATCGGTGATTTCTCGTCCTGAAAAAAAAAAAATAAATAAATAAAAATACTAACTAGTGGCACACGCGTGTATCGACGCCGAACGCGATACCGTTAATAAATCACGGGACGGCCGCGGCGGATATTACGCGACGACATAACGGTCGTTTCTGCCCGCGAGCGTGCGCGGCGAATTAAAACGGTTTCGACCGGGGAAAAAACTTCGGCAAAACCGTTTACGAACGTTTATCGTTACGAACACGATTGCGGGGGTGGCAGAGTCGACACTATTTTCCGCTCAATTAATAATAAAAATACACGCGCACACGCGCACTTACACTTACACTGCTGACGGGGTAGTTATCGTATAAATGTCGGGTAAACGTGATTTATCATCCCCTCGTTATTTTTTTAATTTTTTTTTTTTTTTTTACCGTATATTTTGCATTACGACAAATTAACACGACGAGCCCTTCAGTGCGGTATTTCAGCGGCTGACTACGAGTGCGGGCGAGTGAGACGGGGAGGAAAACAAAAAAAAAAAAAAAGTCGAATGAGAACTGCACGCGTCGCCGCCACCGCCGTTTCCTCGCCCGTCCGTTCGCCGTACACCTACGCTGTGAATATCGCACGAGTGGACGATATCGTCAGAATGCCGGCAACTATTCCCCGAGAAAACGTTCTCCGGACCGCATAGAACGGTTACATTTTGTTTTTGGATATCCGCACGTAAATCGACGTACGGCTAGGACGAGATGTTCAGTTTTAAAACCAGCGATCGTCGACATTTTTTACGCGCGACGGAAAAAATAAAAAACCTGGCTTCCGGTTTTGCACTACGATTTTAAAACCACAAAGATTTTATTAAAAGTTTTGTGGGTTTAACATTTTGCTATAGTCTATTTTTGAAACCAACAAATTGGGTCGGGTTTCTATGGATGGCTGGTTTTGAAACTGACTAATGAAAATGATAAAACTTACCAATCGACTAACAGAATGAACAAAAACAAAACAACATTTGTGTTAATTTTCAATGAGGTTTAATTAGAGCTTTAATTAAATTAAGAAAATCGTATCACCACTTAAGAAATACAAAAATTCTGGTTTGAAAATTTGTTCTATTAAGTTAGGGTGATCATATTTATGAAAAAAAAAACGGGACAAATATGTTCTCTAAAAAAAAAGACAAAATGTTTTTAACTTTTTTATTATATGCAATAAAAATAATTTTTAATTAGTTTAATATTTTAACTAAACATTGATTTGCATTCTTTTTTTGCTGTGAGATTGAAAAAAATTACTTAAAATATTTTTTATTTTTATTGAGTTAACGTCGATTGTTCATAATTTTCTTCATTACATCCTTTGACATTATATTTTTTTAATGAATTGATTGCATTTAATAATTTTGATTGTGTTAACAAAAAATCATAAAAATCATTACAAGAATCTTTTTTAAAATTATTTTTAAGAATTATTATTGCTTTGACAGTTGGTATGAGAAAACGATTTTTTTCGTCCGTCCATAAAATATTTGATTGAATTTATTCTTTTCTATTACTGCATTAATTAATCTGCAAAGGTACGGTAAACGTATATTTCTTTTCAGGCATTCTAAAAAAACAATACAAGTGATAACACTAACGACTCGCAACAATTTAAATAAAAATAACTAATACACAGTGGCTATAACATTAATAACACAAGGTCGTTGCAATTTACACACGTTATTGCACGACTATGTTCGATTTTTCGATTAATATACCTAATATACCTATTATAACGAAAATCGTTGATTACAAATAGTTTTTAGGGAAGGGGTTATCAATTGTCAATAGGTCCACGGGGGGTTGAACTTCCAACTATCCTACTTGAAATCATTCTAAATTCTTATCATCACTGTATGGCAATTGAATAAAAAAATCTTTTTTAAGTTTTATGGAACATTTCTGTACTTATATAATACCAGATTTCATAAGTCCTAGGTACAAATTAAATTAAGTGACTAATACCGCAATGGTGAAAGGAGGGGGACGATTTATTTTTTGATAACCGCGTATACAACGATAATATAATATTAAATTGGAAAGTTCAAGCTGGGATGTAATACTTGTAGTCGTCGAGTATCCTCGAGTAACACGTGAATACATTGGTACAAAATAAACGAGTAAGATGCACCGTTTCTCTAACAAAGATTCGGTCGTCAAAGTGAAAATCGATTCTGCTTTTATTAAAATATTTATTCAAAACATATTGTGATTTTGGCTATGATTCGACCATGACGATCAAATCGTGGTCGAAAGAACGGAGAAACGATGGAATTACATTTTCGTGTTTTTCATTCGGCGAGTGTAACACTGTGTCCGGCTTGACGTTTCGCACAAAATATTTGTACGATCCCCAGGCCGCAGGACGTAGTATGTATGTCGGACCTTCACTAGTGCGGTCCACTACGATGTAATAATACACATTCAATATGCACTACAGAGTGTTCGTCATCGCGGTAACTATTTACGGGCATATTTTCTGGTGACGCGGAAATTCGACTTGATTTCCATTTTTTTCTACCCGTTTTCAAAAAAAAAAAAAAAAAATTACCCACTGCCTCCGATATGAATATGTATTTAAAATGTAATATCGCACGTAACACACTAATTAACGATTGTAATATTAATAAAATTATTTATGAAAAACTCCTTATTAATTGTCTTTATATAAAAATGTAATATGTAACTAAAACATTATGAATTATTTGTAATCTAAGATAACCCTGGGCCTCCAGACGAGTTTTTCTCAGTGAGGCCCAGTAATCTTTTGATATTAATTTAAATGAAAAATAAAAGTATACAGTGTCGAGTGTGTACTAGACGCGCGGCTACCAAACGCCCTGTACGCTCATCGCACAGTAATGTACCACCCTGTAATGGAACGCGCGTACATACGCGATTATTTGTATAAACCCGAACATACACACGCATAGGCGCACCGGGTCATTTCGCTGCGATTTCCCCTTTGCCAGCCGACCGACACACGACCGTTTCCTCGTTACACCCGTTTTATCACCTTTATTGCGCGGCGTCGGTCCCCTCTAAATTACTGCACTGCCGACGAACCGTGCACCTCTATTTGTACGCATTGCACGCGAAATACATCGCACCTGATGTTCAACGGGGCGCGTAGGAGTGCGGAGGGCTTTTCGGTTTTATTCAAATGTACATTAATACCACATTTGTCATGAAATCAGTAAAATCTTTCCGTTAACCAAGTTAACTTAACCTCACGCCCCTCGTATATGCTTTTACATACGTATCAATGTGCAAGAGCATATTTTATTACTTACATATTTATACATATTTATGTTACCGGATGCTACTTGTCGGCAGATTACTTCATGGTGAGAATCTTCGCGCGTATACGCGTATTGTATACAATACTAAAGTGTTCACAATATTTTTCACCTACGACGTATATCGATCCTTCCGTACTTTTTTTTTTTTCGGATGAATAACATCTCGAAAATAACTCCCGTAACAGCGTTACTCGTCGATCACATTATTGTCCTGTACAACAAAATAACATTATTATAATCCATAGGTGATAGGTATAACCTGAACTGCTGTGAAACGTAATATTGTAATAACTCGAACCGACGGGAATAATGAACATTGTGCGATGGTGGTCAAGTTATAGATGATAATATGAGCTCAGAATTGTCGAATTTCGCGTAGTTGTTTATAATTGGATTATGTATAATTACATTAGATGCGCTGTGTACATTGTATTATTTTATTACGTTAAACTGTTTGCGTGTTTCAGGCAAGAGTTTTACGCTGACCATAACCGTGAGCTGTTCACCCCCGCAGGTTACCACTTACAACAAAGCCATCAAAGTCACAGTAGACGGACCCAGGGAACCGCGTTCCAAAACACGTGAGTATAATAACGCAAGGAAAGGTCGCGCGTTTAGGTCCTATGCATTTTATTCGCACGTTATCTACTCGTAGGTTATCGATTTGTTATTTTCACGATTAATACATACGCGCACGCAATTCGTCGTGATTAATTCAAATAAAACGTGTTAAAGATGTTAAAAGTGATAGCGTCTCGATCACGTATAATCACATCTGCAATTCGGAATCATTACAAACAACTGTTCTTTGACTTAATATGTAAATATTTTTCAAAACAATTTCTATCTATCAAATCTAAAATGTTATCGGACAATGCTTTTATTGCAGTAAATAATTTACAAACGTATTTTAATAACATATAAGATGGATTTGTAATAAATATGAACCGATCGTTTTAATGTAAACATCGGTTTAAACAATTAATTATAAATGAAATTATGATATATTAATTGTGAATTATAAAATATAAAAGCAAATCAATAATTCAAAATCGTAAATATTTTAAAAACGATTAAAACTGTGTACAAATTAGTTGAAACCATTGTAGTCGAAGATGAAGAAACTCATTCGTTGTCTTATGTAAAGTATACCCGCCAAAAAAAAACCTAACGGTGAAAAAAGGCCAAGTTCCAAACTCCCTCCCAAAAAAATCGGCTTATCAAAATAGTGTAATCTACATTATGGTTAAGTCTGGTATTTTTTAATTTATAACCTCACTGCACTCCTACATTAAACAGCAACACTCCTCTTTTATTTGTATTGTTTAACACTTAGCCAGTTTTTGAATGAAGCATAAAACATCATTATCGAATATACTCATTTATGACTTACGTGGGTGATGGGGAGAAAAGAACTCAGAAAAAGAAAAAAGGTTTAGATTTCTTCTCAAAAAAGATAGCGACATAGTAGGTTGTGGTATCTACATTGCGGCTAAGTATAGTTCATGCCTCATTCAGAAACTGACCAAGTGTTAAACAATACTAATAAAAAGAGGAGTGTTGCTGTTTAATGTAGGAGTGCAGTGAGGTCATGAATTAAAAAATACCAGACTTAATCACAATGTAGATTTTACTAAAATAGTTGAGAGGCCGACTTTTTTGAGAGGGAGTTTGTAATTTGGCCTTTTTTCACCGTTAGGTTTTTTTTGGGGATATCATTTATTTTTATGGGCTTCAGTATCGTGGACGACGTGTTGTTATTATTATTATTATTTTTTTGAATTTTTGAATTTTTTTTTTAAATTTTTTTTTTATGTGTCGTAGATTTTCTCATTTTAAAACCGTTTGGGTTTCTGTTGAGAAGCTGAGAAATTGGATTCTTGAGCGTTGTCAATACCAGGCAATGATAGCCAAGTACGGTCTTCTATTTATCGTCCTCGATACTTTTTATATAGAATATCTGTAAGTCTGGCTTACATAAAGTTCCTAGACGGTTGTATTCAACAATGGCACTATCATTGACTTTCACCTGACAAGGATCAAAATTAATTAAGTGAACTCCTTGAAGGCTCGTCACCCTAGAGAGGGCCACGTATGCTTCACCACACGAGAATGTTGAGTTGCCAACATTTAACAAAGCATTTGGCAAACTTAATCCCTGACTCTTATGGATGGTAATGGCATAAGCTAAGCAAATGGGGCATTGATGTCGGTGCACATAAGCTCGGATGATGATTTCGAACTTAACTAATAATTTCATTCAATTCATAAGAACATTAAACTTTTCATCAATGTTTTCTTATGACATTACCACGTAAAATTATCGTCCGTATACCGACGAATATTATCAAAATATTCTGTATTTGAATAATTATATTATATTTTGTAGTTGAATAAAATAAATTTATGAAAAAATTATTTTGTTTTATAAATATATATATATATAAGTTAACAACAAACAATTTCTTATTATCATATTATAACGCTGTTAGAAGAAAACGTTTATGCGTGCTAAGCGCGCCACTTCATACGTTTAGAAATACACTCTCTAAAGCGGCATTAATTTTGAAAAAAATTCAATTTTTAGATTTTTCTCTTTAGTTACACTGTAAAACCTACGTTTGCGCTAAATTTCACGTTTCTACCTACAAGGGAAGTGTCTTATAATTTTGATGATCAGTAAGTGAGAGTCGGTATCAAAATTTCAAATTTTGAAATCCTCCCGTTTTGAAATGGTACAATATTAAGGGCTCATTTTCTTACAGCGTCCTAAGCTACTCGAGATTTTTTTAAATTTCAAAAATTAATCTCTAGAGGAAACAGAGATATATGGGTTAGAATAACCGGGCGAATAGGTTCGTGTAATGATACACTAGCATTGCTGGAACTTGGCCGGCGCACTACCGTGCGCTCAGATATATTTCTATTGAAGTACGAAAATCGTAAACTCGAAAGATGTTAGCGATAAATTTTCATAAAAAAATAGAAGATAATGAGATAAGTGTAATGTTGGGAATTGTTCATAACACGTTATTCGAGCACGAGTCTAATCAGTACGCATTTGCAAAGTCTGGAGCGTATTTAAATGTCAACATGCAAATAACAATTATCAGTATTTCACAATACGAAACATTTGAATCCGTACGCGGATTATCATATGGTGATCAAACGATATGAAAATGTGGTTAAGTTCGAGTGTTTTTGAACACACTCGGTTGAAACCCAGATATTATTTATAAATGTTCATTGCCCTGTCCCGAAAACGGTCGTACACGTATATAAATATATCACATGATACCATACACGGCCCGGCCGCAACAGCGCCAACTCGTTATTTACGTCTGCCGGCCGCTTGTAACGTTGCGTTCTCTCTTTGTGCGTTTCGTAACGAATGCGACCGGAGAACGATCGGTTTTCTCTCTCTCTTCTTTTTGAGGTTAAACTTGTGTTTTTTACGAGGGTCGCCACGCCACGGCGTTATTTTTACGACCCCGGTCCCTTTGGCCGGCGCGCCGGCAAGATGAAAGCCGTTTGTTTATGCGCGCGGTGTCTCTTTAAACGACACGACTGTGTTCGGAAGAAAACACTCTGACGCGCACGCGGGAAAAACTAAAAATGTAATAAAATTTCCGTTTCACGGCGACGATAATAATAATAGTGCCGGCGGCGGCATCCTTTTCGTCGCGTTCGGGTGTAAACACGGTACGTGTTACGAACGCTGTGTACAGGGCCCATTTATTGAGGTCTGATGGCGCCCCTAGCGAATCTCTGTAATCCCCCCCCCCATTCATTGGGAAATTTGCATTTTTTTTACAAAAAATCATTTGAGACACACAAAGCACATATAAAATGATATAGTATACAAGGCAATAATTAGTAACAAACTTCGACAACTATTTGTATTACTTTAAAATATGAACAATCAAATGCGTTATGAAAACATGTCATTTTTTTTCAAATGTTTTTGTTTTTCAATTGTGTTGGACGATTTTCAATTTCAATTTCAATTTCAATATTACAACGATACTTTTCTCGTTTTTATGGAGGCAAAAACATTATCAAATGAAATTGTTTATACCACATATTTTTCAAATATTTCGTGAGAAATATTACATAAGCAGCTTTGAAATCTGCTTCCCTCTTAGAATTGCGCCCCTGATCCCGCACTGAATATGGCCCTGCGTGTGTACGTCGCACACACATACGTGTGGCGTACTTATTCGGATCGAAGCTGCGCGCGGACGGGCGGAAAGGACACGACGACAAATCGGTAGTGTGTGAACTTCGGACGTTCGCCGCGCGCGTTTAATAATGACTCCCGGGAAAGCCGAGACGGCCGTCGTTTATTATCCCGTGGGAAGCGCGCGGCGGCCGAGGGCGTGTGCGGTGGGATAACCGCACACGTGCTGCCCGCGCAGCTGTCGCGGGCCCCATTAATCGCAGTTTCCACTTTGGACGGTTGGCCGCCGATAAAGCGCGTTCGAACTTTTTCGCGCCCGGACTCCGTTCGAGCACGAGAAATCGGTCCAGGACCGACGCGCCCAATCGCTCCGGAACGACAGGCAGGGACGAGCAACTCACGGAGTTACTAGAGAGGGCCAATTTTTAGAAAATCAAGATCTAGCGGGCCGGAGCGTAAAACACATATAAAGAAAAAGGTTAGGTTAGGTATATATTTTAATTACCATTCGTGTACACGGATATGATACATTCAACGCACACGAATGATACGAAGAAACTAATTTAGGGCAGTAGAAACAGCTACGATTGAAAGCTATACATGCAAATGATATTTGGACATTTAACGATGTTTGATAATACCAGATAACAATTGTTATATCGATGAGATAGAGTGTAGACGATAAAATTAAAAATTGTATGAAATAATTTTAAAATATAGCACTGGCCAGATAAAAAAGGCTCGCGGACAGCCAGTTGCCCACCCCTGGCATACGATAACGTACGCACTCTTACGCGTTTCTTCGGGTTTTTTTTTGCGTAAGTCGAAACACGTTCGAATATGCGATGGGAGCGGGAGCGGGGTTGCCATCGTATAGTTATGGCCAGTGGCGTAGCCGAAAAAATATTAATTTTTTTTTTTTGGGGTTAAATTTTCAATTCTTTCTTTTAATTAAGTACTAAATTTTTCATTTTAATAAGTTCATTAAACATATGTTAAAATACTCGTATAAAATTTGTCATCGCTTCGTTTGCTGAAACTGTGGAAATTGATGATGATATGATACAACGCTATACCTATGTCTTAAAACGATTGTATTACCTTACAAAAAAATAAAAAGAGACATTTCTGGAAGGGAGGTTATAACCCATTAATCCCCTTGGCTACGTCACTGGTTATGACTGCTCGTGTTTAAAAGCAACACCTTCAGCAGATCCCACCGGCCGATATCGTATTTCTGTGTGACGATAATGTTTATCTTTACCGCCGATAATTAAAGAACTTTTTCGATTACAAAGCAACGGAACGCTGGAGATGAGTAGAGAATATTTACAAGCCGTACTCTCGCCGCTCCGTTACCGTTGATCTCGTAACAAGTTACCATTTTTATACGGTTATTATCAGAGCCGTAGCCAGGGGGAAGAGGCGCCTACGTTTCCGGGCGCAGTTCCTGGTAAACCGCAAAAATGAAAAATTTGCATTTTATGTTAGAAATTACAACCGTCAATGTTGGCATATTTAATTAGCGAAAACTGCAACGTCTTTCTTATTAACCGAAGCAATCGTCAATGACAACATCTTGTAATCGTAATGTTTTTAAAATAAAAATACATATGTGCGCATTTCGAAGTTTCGCCCCGGGCGAAACAAATTTCGTTTCCACGGCACCGGTAGTCATTACTACATGCGAAGTAGCATCGAAGAGCATTGTTTCCCGGACAATTATTTTTTCCCCGGATCAATTTATAAAAAAAAAAAAAAAAAGATGATGCGAAGCAGGGTGTAGGAGGTGAACCTTACACGGATTGTTTCTCAGATCAGATCCACCACTGGGTTCGACTTGCTACCTGCACACGACATTTGTCACGATACCGCCGCAGCAGCGTTCGATTGAGTACGATTCCGATCCGTATCACGGTCGCGTACACACAACGGACACGTATTGTACGGCGGACTTATATTGCCGTTGCATCGTACACTACAACGAAATGTCTGTGGTTTCGGACAACCCCGGAATATAATGTATAGTGTAGTACACGTGCAGGAAAAGGCGTTGGATGCTGTGGCGTAATCCCAAACCGCAGTCAATGACATCATCAGTTCGTACCGATAATATATTAAATCCTACTCGGTGACCGACCGTCACGTACACGTCCTATTGAACGCGGCCGGTTTTCGGTGTTCTTCTAACGGCCAACATGTAAAGTGTGCGCGTACCGAGGAATACTCCAAATGAATTATTCGTTACAATGTACTTACTGCGTTTACGGATTAAAATATTATTCTTAAAAAACTTTTTATCAGAAGCACGTTATGCTCGTAAGATTTATCATTAACGATTATTTCAAGCACGCACGAACAGTGTACTAAACAATTCAGAACTTATAACTTATACATACCAGCGTTGTTATAAGCTGTTTTATATTTTTTAGTATATTACGTGGACGTGCGATTATAATATGTACAGGTATATCTAATGTATTAGCTACAAATTATTGTCATAATATGCAAACGGTGTTGGGATTAGACAAACACTTCTTTCTTTGGATAAAGATAAAATGTAACTAAATTTAAATCAATCTAGATAAAGATCAAAGATAATTACATTTTTGTGTTGGAAAAAAAATTGATTTGGGTTTTCACCCAGAAGTCAAACTTTCTGAGAGAACATCTCAAATACTAGTATGCCAGTAAATTGTGGTTGTTGTAAACGACGGTCATCAAAACCGCATACTTACCGTTCAATACCACACATATTTATTCTATTGTTAAAAAGGGAAATTTGAAAGGTCAGTAGTTCAAAACCGGACATATTTGGTTAACAGTTCCTTTCTCTCTGCACACTTTGCATGTACAGTTCACGTTACCGGTTTCATATGAGTCCCACACAAAATCTTTTTTTATCCTGGGACCTGCTTGGGTGATGTTATATAGCAAATCGGGGGATATTTTCGTTTTTAACTGTCCGAGCGAGCGAGTGACCCCGCTCAGTCTCGAGGTGCACTAATGTTATTTTAGATGAATGTATACGTAATTGATATTTATATATATACATATAAATTTGTGCGGTATTGAACGGTTTAATGTGGCAAAAATATGTGAGATTAAGATATAAAAGTGTGCGGTTTTGAGCGATGACCTGTTTTTGAAAGTGTACGGTTATGAACGACGCCCGTTGTAAACCTTTAACAATTTTAGTATATATTTAAATTTGTATTAGTAAACATACAACTGTTATTAGATTAATTGTTCTATCATATGTATAATATACATACAATAAATAAAAGAACAATCTTTCTTACTAATAAATAATTAAAATAATTTTTTCATTAAATTAACAGCTCACCACTCAACAACATAACAACATTGACTATAAAAGAAACAATTTAGCCAAGTGAAATTTCTTTTAAACAGAAATCGATGTTGAAATGAAAATTCAAATGATTACCGATAAGAGCTTTAAGTTTATAACCGGTTAAGATAAAGTTATGTGTACAGAATAAACATTTTAATTTATTACGCTAAAAGTATATGGAATAACTTTGCCACATATACCCGGTTAGGTATACTTATACCGTACACACCACGTATTATTTACGCTACCCTATCTCGTTTGTTTCGTGCAGACGGTCGTTTGAAGTTGTTTGCGATTATTAATAACAGCTGTACATCGGGTAAAGTAACAATTATAATTTTTGTACTCTGCCTTTGAAGACATTCCAAACGCATGAATGAACGACGGAGATAAGCTGCAAAAACGTGTGCGCTTGTGTAATCACTATTTGATATTATTGTACTGCAGTTCATATTACTATAATCCGTTGGCAGGCAGTTACGCGCGATCTCACGGTCCTATTACGATTCGTATTTATATATTTTTTTAATCGAATTAAATCCAGTTTAGAACATTTCGATTTTTTTTTGTCAAAAATGTATTTGTTAGCATATCACACCTATATATTATCATTATTATTGATGTGATTTTGATGATTTACCACTGCGTGTGTATTCGTTTTGCTTGCAGGACAACAGCAACAGTTTCACGCGTTCGCGTTCGGCCAACGGCCGTTCTTGTCGACTCACTTCGCTAACCCGCTGGACCCGTTGCACAGAACCGCGGATCCGTTGGCGTTTCGGATGCCGGCCATGACGAACTGTCAAAGTGAGTTTTCGCGATGAGGTACTGCTGTAGAATTCGAACCGTGAACATCGTTGAATATGTGTTTGCGGTAAGGAGTTTGGTCCGTACCTTGTGCGTCAAGATTAATCAGTACGAATCGACCGTTTAAGGGGGTCGAAAATAGCGAAAAATGCGTGCATACTCTTATCGTGCTTATATGGGTGGCGCGAGTTATCGTTGCCCGGAGATCGTGGAAAACCGGCGAAAACCGATGTTTTTCCCATTGGGTTTTTTTTTCGTTTCGAACCCGTCGCCGGCTAATAACAGCAGGTATTGGGCGCGAGGTGCTCCGGGTACAATGCACGCCAGAGGGATGCGGTTCCCAGGGGTATATGTTCCTTTGAAACGATGACAAATTACTGTTGCGGATCAAAAATATCGTGTTACTCGTGGCGTAATCTTTTCGATCTTTCTTTTTTCCCTTTTCACGATAATGGTTTACGTAATATTCGCTCCGACGCGACCGCATCGCATAGGTACCCGAGCAACAACAGTAACGGTACGCGCATATCATATCGTACTCAGCCCCGTCCGTCTATGCAAGCGTATTAATGCGTTGCGTCGTACACCGGTCTTACACCGAACACGTTACCAAAAAGTTTTTGTAATCTATTACCAACGACGATACCTGTAACAATGTTTTTTTTTTTCCGTTTTCGTTAACATCACGGCTAATAGGGACGTCAATACTTCGCGATTAATTGTACCGTGTACACTGCATACACTGTACATGATACATAGTTCTTGTTTCCGCTTTGACATAAACGCTTACTGTTACTTTATTTTACTGTATTCGACTATCCTGCATACATTTTTGCCTTGAAGCTAAATAGCAATTTGACTTGTTTAGGTTACGGTTCATTTCCGATTTATTACATGTATTAGAAATGTAGTGAATTCGTATAGTTATGATAACCATTTTAATAAAAACATACTGGCTTTCATAAAATAAACGAACCCATCCATGTGACCAGGATAAGGAAAAAATTATCTGCATTTGCACTAAACTGTTGCAGTAGCCAATATTCCTAACCATGTACCTATACGCTTTCATTCTTTTTAAAACTTGCATTAGCTATAACTATAATACGGGTTTTAAAGTAATAAAAACTAAAGAAAGCCCTTAAAAAAAATCATTGAAAATGGGTTTGAAAAAAAAAAAATTATTAATTTTCGGCATTTTGGAAATGATTAATATACGGTGTAACAACGAAAACTAAACTGTAATTCTGAGTAGAAAACTTCTTGAGCAAGAGCATGTTTTAATGTTTATTGTCGTTTCAAGAAAAATGAATCTATTAAATACTATTCAGTACGTGTAAATTGAACACACGGAGAAAGATTATCAATAAATGATTGAACATGATTTAGTACACATTATATATTATAAAAATAAATAAATCACAAATATGTTTATTTAGAATGCATTTAAAAAAATATATGTATAGAACTTAAAAACAAAAAAAAAAAAATTTCCGAAAAGCATTAATTTACAAAAAACGCGGAAAAAAGGAAAAAAAAGAAGCAAAATAAAATATTGTGCATTTTATTCCAAGTAGTATAAATCGAATTTGTAGCTGACAATAGAAAAAATAAAATAAAATGTCTTCAAAATCCGTACTTTAGATATAACTATTAATAATAATTACAAAAATCTCGTCGTAGAATATAATATGATAAACATGTTTTAACACGATAAACATTACCAATAGAGGAGAAGCGATTTGCCGGATAAGAATCGGTAGTTTACGTCGATAAGTGTGCGGCCACACGCACGGCACACAATCGGATGGGCCGCGCACCCGTGTGGAGAGAACTACGTGTGATGTGATGAATGAATCGAGAAAATCGTTACGGTTGTCCGAAACGGTGCTAAAATCATTAGGCCGTGGACACAGTTAATGCATTTGCTGCGGAATGTCCAAATCCGTATTTACGATAATCGTCGTGCACCCTACCGGAGTGAATGGATTGCGCGTGAGCGATGAAGTGCGTAAACGGGGTGGTAGATGTTAAAAGTACAATGTAATACGTGGGGGCGCAGCGCTTTGTAGTCGCCAACGAAACGAATGCGTCCTGCAGTGGCATATCGTCTTGATGTTAGGTTACATATATTTACACGCGTAAGAAGATGTAATTCGGTCGTGCAGCGCAGTAAAAACGATCGAAACGCATTTATCTTCGTGCTGCAATTATTGTCGTCGTTCGAACCGAGTGCTTGCAAATAGAACATGTTTGTCCACCCCACACGGATTATTTCTATACTGCATAAAGAATGATTTTCGCCTGAATCGTAATAAAATTGCGACTTACACGGTCTATTAAAATTATTTGACGTCTCGCACACGGCTGTGTAGGTACATTTGTACGTGCGATGGCTGATCCTGAGAGTTTTCTCGATAGCGAATGTGTACGTGAATACCGATTTCGTGTTTTCCGATTTTTTTTTTTCTTCCTCTAATTTTATTTTAGGAGGCTAAATGACAATCGTAGTTTGTAAAGTTCGTATTTTCATCCCTTTATCTTTTAAATGTATCGTTCGAAAATCAAATAACTGGTTTAAACGATTCGTGGAAACACTCCTTATTTTTAACGTATGTCGACGCACATTATCTTCAGAACGGCATTATGCGTGTTATTTTTTTTTTTTTATTAAAAAAAAATAAAATACCATTATTATTTGCAAACCGATCCGATCAGTATAATGTTCACAAAACCGATTTGGACGTTATTCAACGTATTCAACGGAGCACTACGGAAGCAAAATTTTTGTTTATTATAATCATTAAACACTATGTATCGCTGCTGCTCTTTAGCTCGTGACGATGGATAAGCTGGTAAACATTGGTAAACACGTTTTGGGAAATCATGGATACTGCCGGAGCAGGATTTCGTAAAAAAAAAAAAAAATTAAAACAGCTCTTGCGCTGCACACTGTTATTGTACGTTTTTCAATCGTACGGTCCTATTAATACGTTCGGCAACGATAAAAACAAAGACCGTCCACGCTCTCTCTCTGCACCGGATGTGTCCGACACACAAATCACGAACGAATAAAACGTACCGTTTCCCCAACAACGATATGGTTGTCACGGTAAATCCATGGCAGTATTGTATTCAAAATAATTTTGTGTGAATCGTATTCGATAAAAACGGATTCGGTCGATGCAGCGATTTTGATTATGATTTTTCTACGGATTTGCTGCGACAACCGAATCGTCGTCGTTAGGGAAACGGTACGTTTCACTCGTTTGCCCTTAGTGGATGCGTACCAATACATCCGTGTGACGTTTCGCATTCTGCACGTAACATTCAATTTTATATATGTCCGCGATGTTATTGAGGTTCCTACTATAGCCGGATGTTAAATAATTACCATACGTTTGTACGGATTTATGGTTCGACAAGAGGGTGGGAACTGGCAACTTGCTATGCAAACGAAATCCATCGGAAAACTTCGGTGTGCAGTGGCGTGCCGAATATAGGTCTAAATGATGATCAAGTTAAAAAGGGGTGGGTGGTTGTTGGATAATAATATGTAAATCACATAATTATCGTATATATTTAGGTAGAGAAATATTGATGTATGAGTTCTGAATGAGATGAATTTAAATATGGATGGGTGGGTGGGTGGTAAACTAGACTTTGCAATTGGCATTAAAAACATTTTTATCTCGGCACGCCACTGGCGGTGAGGTTTCGGGTCTTAGCGCAGTTCTACTCTCGTGTTGGACCGCCCGCACAGCATAGATATGTTTGATAAATATTCGAAAAAACAAATTTCTAAATATTCGAAAAACGTTCAATGGGGTCGTACGTTTTTTGAACCAAGCATTAGAAACGTGTACGGTTTTCAATTTTCATTAACTCTTTTAAACATTTGCGTCTCTTCTCGGGTTCGACGTGAAAAATCGAGTACACGTTCAATGTCGCAAAAAGGTTTTGTTGCAAACGTAAATTAAAACTCTGATCAGAGACATAATAAATTGACAAACGCCGTATGAGCGGTGTGTAACACTGTTGCGGCGACAAAACGTCCGTCGACGTGTTATGTGTTTCGATACGGTTTTTTTTTTTTTTTTGACAACGGTTGTTGTGTGTTCGACAGACATGGGCCAGTTCGCGCCGCACCATTCGTGGGGATACTCGCATTCCACCGCGTACTCCACGTGGCCGGGAGGGGGCGGTTGCACGAACTTCACCCCGCCCGCACTAACCGCCACCGGATTCACCGGCACCGCGGCGGCCACGACGTCGGAACTGCACACCTCGCTGACCGCTGCCGGCCACCATCACGATCTGTTCCCCAACTGCTCGGCCAACGCGCTGACCACCGTCGCCGGTAAGTGATGCCGAAACGCGGTAAAATGTTGTCGCGCGCGAAAGATTTCCACGATCGCAGATCGCAGCACGACGACGAGCGACTTTTTCCGTTTTCGTTTTAATCGACTTTAATCGAAGTTAAAATGATCGGTTGCAGCAGCAACGAGCGCACCGTTGAACGCGCGAGAAGATGGAATAAATAAACCGCGTACCCTGTAGACGGAGCCCGCGGTTGCCCACCAGGTCCACCATAGGGATCCCAGATGTATTTTTCAAAAATACGGGACATTTTAAATCATACCTATTTTTGAAATTCACATTTGTGTTGATTTGGGGAGTGGGTGAGGGGACTTATGTTAGCAATTAACATATTACAAAATTAAACATGTGATGTTTGTTGAACAAATTCTTTGTAGGCATTTGGGAGCTAAAATTACATTTGGTCTCGATGTAACTATTTCATTTTCCTTACAGTTACTAAATGTACTATAAAATAAAATTAAGCACAATATTTGATACTTCAAACAAGTATAAATTTTAATTAAAATCCAAAACAAATAATTAGGTGACTTAGGTATTTTTTTTTAGATTTTTTTTTTTTTTATAATTAAATATTATTATCGTTTGATTTAGATATTATGGTTTATCAGTAATACAAAATAATACATTTAAAAAGCTTTATGATACTGAAAAAAATTAATTTTTAAAATAAGGTACATACGAAATGGATTATACAAAATATGGGACAAAAATTTTATTTTTATACTTGTGTCAGGATGTCGGGGCACTTTATTAAAATACAGGACAATCCCGTAAAATACGGGACGTATGGGATCCCAAGTTCACCACCGTTACCGATAAACCCACGAACAGAAATTATAGATAACGCGCGCGTACAGGGTTCTCGACGAAGAAAAATTGAAAATCGATTTTGGGATAGGGCACGATCGCGAAAGGGACGTGAATGGATTCGATGCGCTGATTTCGAAATTTCACGCGGGGCCAACGCTTCAGGCCCACACCGTTATACATCAGTGCGTGGGAAATCTACTAAATTACTAAAGACGTGTTTAATGCGTGCCGACGACGAAGTTTCAATAAAGTTATCGTCTGTACATATCTGTGGTGATATTTTGATCGGTCGATTCTTATCGTTCGTAAGCTACAGACTTGGTCGAATCATTACCGCGGTTCGCGACACGGCCGTCGGAAAATGTTCCGGCTCCGGCGGTGGACTTTATTCCCTGCGGGAAATACGAAATACCGTGTGGTCGCCAATAGCATAGTCTATTGTCCATCCGCACTGGAGTATGCGATTAGTTTTTGTTATTAGAAATAATGTAACAATAATTAGTGTGTCGTACAGTACATACTACATTTTTGTTCTCATTATATTAGTGGTTTGGCCAAGTAGCAGGTGAAACATACCTACTAATGAGTTGGTAGCTTAAAGGTGCCAAACCTTAGCGTTACGTACGGTTCTGGTTTAAATAACATTTCGAGGGGAGCTGCTTAAACGAAAACAGTTAAAAACGTCTTCAGAATCGTGTTTATCAAATCTTTTTTGCCGAACGGACTAAAAATGATCGTATCATTCGCGTTCAGTCGTTATTAAATCACTTGTCCATAAACCACTAGTATAGTTCGAACTACGTTTGAATCGTAATACTGTTTTTTTTTTTTTTTTGATATTTACTAACATTTTACCCTCTCTTGAACCCGATGCGTTAGTGATGCCATCGTTCTCGGACACCAGCGGCACGACGGCGAACAGCGGTGACCTGGAACAGCAATTGTTGCTGTCGTCATCGTCCAACTGCCACCAGCAGCAACAAGACAACAGGACCGGGTTCTCGACGGCTAGGGGTTATCAGCAGCAGCAGCAGCAATCAGCAGGAAATGACCAGGTGATGGCGCCGCCGCCGTCAGACCTGCACCCGTCCACGTCGTCGGGCCCGCGGTCCACCGACTCGTCGGCGCCGGACTCGCCCACCGGGCCCGTCGGCTCCGCGGACGACATGATGGCCATCGGCCAGTCGCATGGTTACGAGCATGTGGGCGGTAGTGGTTACCACGGTGGTGGTCATCCGACCATGATACCGGCGTCCCTGCAACTGTACTCGCAGTTGTACCACGCGTCCGCGGCCGGCCACACCACCCGGCACCATCACCACCATCACCACTATCACCAACCCGGCGACGGCGACGAGCACCTAGCCACCGTAGCCCAGCGGCCCACGCAGCAGGCGGTGGCCGCGGCCGACCACTCGGCCGTGTGGAGACCTTACTGATACGGCGCCGCGTACGGGAACGCGGTCGCGAACGGGCGGCGTTCGAATCCCGGTAACGGTTACCGAACGGTGCACGTACGCGATTTAAAATTAAGGCCCTTGTTAGATGATTATCGATCGTTTGCGTAACATAACGATTAACATTTTTCGCCATAACGATTACCATTTTATTACCGTACAGTTATACCACATTGAACCCACTATACATTAATTATACTTACGTCGGTCTTGTGATCCGTAAACGATGTGCAATACTAAACTATGTTATGCATAATATATTATTGTGTAACCTTTAAGCGTGACAAGTGTGTTTTGTTCTGTTTTCCATCCCTTTGCAGTGCATTATTATTGTTGTTTACACGACGCAGCACGTTTGAAGACGAATCTGAGTGTCGAGGTAGTCGGCAAACAGAGCGCTCGTGTCTCGTAATAATTATGAGTCACGATTGTTTGTTAAAGCTCGGAACATAATGATTCAAATGAAAAATAGCTAATGATTGCTTAAAAGCACTGGTAAAATTATCAAGTACTCGCGGCCAGCAACGGTCTTGCAATGGTGAAAGGCCGGTCTAGCGCTGTGTTACTAGCACGTGATATACTGGATTCTCTACTTGTATTCGCACGAGTTCGGGTAATGACGTGTGGGGTGGCATTATGTTATTGATAATAAATTACTGAAATCCACGTGGTGTTCGGCTATTAACGTAAAATACACTGTTCAGCGAAAAACGAGAAAAACTTATTATGGTTTTTTTTTTTTTATCCTTCGACCCTCTTTGTTCTTGGTAATGCGTATCCTATTTTGCGAGTGCACCAAATTAATGTATTGGAATCTTTCTACCTTATACAGAATACAGATTTCTGTTTGTACTTAATGCATTCCTAAGCGACTGGACTGATTGCGATGAAATTTGGTACAGAGGTATATCAGACCTTTGGGCAGAGGATGAGCTAAGTTAAAAAGTGATAGGCCCAAACCCAGAAGGTGCTCAACCAGACATTTTGAGATTTACGATGGAAATTTTTGTTTATAGACGGTTGCTATTACGAGTAGTTTCATTAATAATAATAATTAGTACCGAAGAAATTATTATCCATTTGCTATTATTTTATTATTATTTGTTTCCATGACACGTGCGTTTCGTTTTTTTTTCGTTTCCGGTGCGACTCGCCTTTGCAACGACCATCAACAAAGCAATCGGTACAAGTGTATGGACTGAATCTGGAAAATCCATGCATCTCACATACACAGCTGTACGTGGCATGCTCACGCGCTGGAAAACCTTCTGATTCATTTGTGTACGCACCAGAAGGAAGAACAAAAAATATCGTGTATCTAAATGCAGTTCGAAAAAAACCATTCGATTGAATACTTGAAGCGTGCGAATTTTCTCGATAAAACGAATAAAATTACATAATGATAAACTAAATCGTTGTAAAAATCATTACGTAATATATTTTAACCGTTATCTATCTATAAGTATAAGAAATATACTGCTAGCATAATCACGAATAACGAATTCAGCGGCACAGCTTGAGACATATAAGTGGTAGGATTTTTAACGAGCTACGAAGTGCGGGGGTTCGGCCAGTAAGGTATAAAAAACGCTAACCGTGTTTGGGGTTCGCTACACGTTGCAGCCCGTCGTCGTTTACCGCGCAAGATTTCGAAAACGGACCGGAAGACAAAATATCGTAAATTTTTTTTCTCCCATCCTTTTTCGGTCTCTCTCTCTCTCTCTCTCTCTCTCTATGTCGTTCGCCCAGCGAGTGGGCCGGAAAGAGAGCACAGAGCACAGTTCTTGCATATTGAAAACCGCGCCGTGCTGCACAAACGAACTTTCGGCATAATAAGACGTGCCGGGGACTCGTGTAGATTCCACAGTCATGTATTATTCATTACGGTGGGCGGCCGCACGCGAGATTCCTCCGCCGCCGCCTGTTTGTAAGTAACCTCCGAGCCGCTGGGAATACGACATGGGAGTTATGACGAACGAAATTCATTATCTTACTGGCGGCGAGAGGAAAGGCAAAGGAATTCATAACCCCAGCGCGACTTTCCCCGCGAGACCAATTGCGCGCGGGCTCTGGATTTCCGCGAGAGCCGCTGCGCTAATAACGCGTGCCCTTTTGTTTTAATTTCTAAAGTCGTCTCATCTCGTATTCCGCCAGGCCCGCACCGCGCCCGACAGCCAGAGCACCGGCGGCTGCATACGGTATCCGTTAATTATAATATTCTTCGTTCACCCGGAACCGCCGCAGAGCCCGGGCTCACACACGGTCGTCGCCCAGTCGCGAGCGAGCGCGCACGTATCCGTTCACGCGCGTTCTTCCGCCGTGCCCTACGTGCACGCAAAACTCTTTGCGAACACATCCGTAAATAATAATGTACGAGCGTTACACGGGATGAACGCGTGTGCGAGCAACCCCCCGCGACCGTAACGGTAACGGCGTACGGTTCATAATAATGCTCGCGTTGCCTCGCGGAGAGTCCAAAAACTTTTGTTGCGCATCACCCGCCTAGAAAATACCACGACCGCCGGTAGAAGAAGTTCCATCACATTTATACGACGTGCCGACGTGCGAGTTTATTGCTATTGTTGTTTCATACCGAAACGCGTTAACGTTAGACGGCACGCGTACTCCGCTGATATTGACGAACAGTGGCGTAGCCAGGATTTTTAAATGGGGGGGGGGGGGGCTAACCAATTTTTTTTGGATAAGTAAGGGAAGAGAGGATAGGAGAAATTCCTCCCAAAACCCCCCCCCCCCACCACCATCTACCACCGAGTTTCTAAACGTGATTCAAGCATTTTAGTATAGTTTTAAAAATATTTATTAATATATAATTTATAGTAATAATAATAATTTTGGTTTCAGTGTTCAGTCACTTGCTCCACTCTGACAGCCGCATTCTCTTAGGCGAATTTCTGTCAAATTCAGTTATTATTTCACTTTCATCGAATTGCTCTTTTTTATTTATATTAGCCATAGCTAACCCATTCAGTCTGTTTTCCGACATGGTGCTTATTAAAAAAATTTTTAAGCGATTAAGTGCTGAAAACGTTCTTTCCGGAGTGAAAGAGGTAACTGGTAACGTGGCGAATAATTGTAAAAGTATTTTAATGTTAGGTCGAAGATTGGTGCGATGAGAGAGTGAATCAAGAGCAGAATTCGGTTTTGGGATAGTATTTTGACTCCATTGTTGCCTCCATATGAACAGGTCAGCTCTGATTGTAGATGAGGTATCATCATGGAGATTTTGGACGTATATTTTAGCAGCTTTTATAATATTTTTATCGTCATACATATTTAAATTGGCCGGAATAAGTCCTTCAAGTGGCATAACATCAATAAGCCTTTGATTAAAACGAGCGTTGATTCTATTAAATAGTCATTATACATATAAACACGGCCCATAGGAAAGGTTATAGCCTCCTTAGCCCCCCTCTGTTGACGAATGAGATTATTAATACGTACACAATTATTTTAAACCGTTGTGCACGCGTGCATTATCGCACACAGCGGTCCAACCTTTGGTAGTTGACGGGAAAATTTACACTTCCACGAAAACACTAAGAGCCGCCAAAAAGCAAAAAAAAACAATATTGTTATCCGGTAAGACCCGCAGTCGATAATCGCCGTCTAATCGTTACTACGATATTAATTACTTCCACGATATCCCACCACAATAACGCTGTGGCTTCCGTACAAACACGGTACCTGCACACGTACGCAGTGAGCTGAATCGCGGTTTTGCACCTACGTTTTTTAGTATAAAGCACAAAAAGTATACAGTTGTTTAACGATCTCGTTATGATTTTATTGTGACATTTTTTCAATACTATAAGTCTTCTACGGAGGAGGACCAAAAATAAAAGGCTATATAGATACTTTACACTATACAGTATCGGTGTTGCTTTGACGGTCGTAGCGAATCCGTATACTGCGTTCCGACTTGACGTAAAAACGACGCGAAGCACTTAAATATATTATACGGCGATTACGTATGAGTCGCGTGTTTGGATTAACCGAGTTGACGATAAATTGTCAGTAGTTACAACTCGATTACCGTTAATCTATTTATTTATTAATTTTGAACACCACGGATCCCATATAAATAGGAACGATCCGGTTGCATGACATTCGTAGGTAAGTGAACGTGAGCAAATAGAAGATAGGCGCTTCGTGGGTTCCTATACAGATTACTACAGTTTCCTACTTCAAAGTGATTTTATTGTTTTCTCGTACAATACAGGTAAGGTATCCATAAATGTGTGAAATCATAAATTTAAATTTAAGATAGTAGTAACATTTGAAAAATTAAATTAAATTTATCTAGAACGAATGGACGTTTACAAAACATTTAAAACAATGATAAATCAATGAGAGTCAAGTAAAGATTCAATCATCTACATCATTGTTTTTTTTATACTAATATTCACTATCATAACCACAGATTAATTAAATCAACGAACTACGTAAAAAAATATTTTGTCAATGGTCATTGTTTACATAATATTTTAACTGTAGCCAAGGAGCCGCTATAACGACAAAATAAAATAGTATAATTCCAAATTAAAATTTGAAAACTATACGTCAAAATATGTCATCGTAATAAAGCTCAACAAATCAAAAAAAATTTAAAAAATTTAAGGACTGTGAAAGATGCAGATTCTTGAATTAAAAATGTACCTAATAATGTAGTCTTCAAATTAACAAAACATAATATGACGTATACTGTCAATTTTTTATAACTACATTTTATATGTGAACTAACCGTTTGTATTCCAACAGGATTTATAGTTTTTCTCAGTGAAAAATTGACTTTAAAAATTCAAAAGTTTATACTTTTTCAAAATTCATCAATTTCATTGTTGACAAGTATGGTAATGGGAATATTATTATAGATAAGTAATTTATCTAATAATACTCAATTAGTAATTAATATTAGTTTATTAATTAATTCAATTGATTAGAATTTATGTTGTTTGATCGTAAAAACCAACACAATTTACGATTTTATAATCAAAATCGTTTTTAGAATATTTTTACATTCACTTCAAAAACGTAAAACAAAATACTTTTACACAATCGAATAAATCTAAATTAAATGAGTTATACTGTATTTTTAAAATCTATTTTTTGAGGAAGATTCTTTAGAATTAATATTCGCTGGAAAACGCGACACAACATTTTCATCAATTTTTATATTTGAAGTACCTTCTTATATACGAGCAAAATACAATTATTAATTATTTAATTATTTATTTTTTTAAATATATATTGCTTTAAAT